CCTTCTCTCTTTCTTTCTTTTCTTCCTTTTTTCTTTTTCTTCCTTTTTGCTTTGTCTAACCACTGCCCTGTGTGTGATGTGTGTGTATCACAGTGTCAGTGTGTGTCAAAGTCAAGCACAGCTGTTAGAGAAAATAATTGCAGATACTATCAGACAAATCGGCAAGCTTTGGCAGTTAAGTCACTGGGAAAGTTATTGGAAGCAACTTGTCATTTAAGTTCAAAGTCTGTTCTTAGCTATGGGCAAAGCGTTTCCATTTAAATTAGAGCAACTTAAGAGAAAATATAGCACTCCGCCTCCAATGAATTAATTATACATCTCTGAACATAAGTGTCTTCAATATAAAAGCCAAAGATACAGCTTCATAATGCCAACATTCCCCAAGTAAAGCTTTTTCAGAGGAGAATTCAGTGTAGCACATTATTAATGGGCATTCGGCTGGATTTGGTTTTAGTGGTACTAAGCTGCATTGGCCTCTGGCAGTTCTTAATATTTGTCTTTTGGCCTCAAGACATGTTTCATATATAATTTTGATATGGCCAACAGAGACCCTGATACTGTCTAGAAATGGACGTATGTTGCTAAAGATACATGTATGTAGGAAAACAAAATGCCCGTCCTTCATACTAGAAAATAGATAGAAAAATAAGTTACTTTTATCCACATGAAAGTAAGGCAGAAGCTGAAGGCTGTTGCCCCAGGAAGGCCTGAAGACACAGCGACTGCTAACTCATCTATACATGCCCAGCATGGACAGTGGGCTGAGAGGTGGTGTCCAAAGTACCATGAGCTTGACTGACAAAATTTCCTTCTCTGTCTGCTGTAGGCACATACCAATTCAGAGCTCCTGAGTCTATGCCACCTGACTCACCAGTTGGCAGAATAAAAGCTAATGATGCTGACGTGGATGAAAATGCAGAGATCGAATACAGCATCACTGAGGGGGATGGATATGACATGTTTGGAATTACCACAGACAAGGACACACAGGAAGGAATTATAACTGTCAAAAAGGTACACATCTTAACACACTTAATCCCAGCCTCTGAAATACCGGTCAAAACTTTATCTAGCATATATTTGTTTTCCATTTTCAGTGAAACATGTGTTGTTTATTAATTTGAATGCTATCTGTTAGGAATCTGTACATTACCTATGTAAAGATTCTTTTATACAAGTAATTGGGGTCCTTCCTCTTACACCCTCCTTTACTAAACCAATGTACATACTTTGAAGGACCTGAGACAGTGAATAACCTAGGGAGTGGAATACGACTGAGAAAAAATTCTACAGTCTGAACATACCCACATAATAACTCAAGGAAGCACCACCATCCAACTGCGATTTTCCCCCTATGATGCTTACAGGATTTGCTCACTTACTAGAAGGTGCTGTATTAAGACCAAAGAAATAATCAGTATCACATTGCCTATTTTGCACTACCTGAACGTTTTGAATTGTATAGTGATAATGTATTAAAGGACATAGAAAATTTTCTTTTGACTCACATTTTGTAAAAATATAATTAATAAGTCCATGAGCATGCTTTTGCTTTAGAAAAAGCATCACAGCTCCTTGCTGGATCACAATGGACATCATCTACTAGGTTGCACATTGGCTGTCAGAAAAGGTTTGAGAAATATTGTTTGCAGTGAGTTATCAGGCAAGCTTGATAAGGTTACAGATATCATCCTCCATCAGTTCAAATTCAGTCATCACTAGATAGACATTGTGTAGATTTTCCGAACATGCACTTGCTTGTTGATATCAGTACGACACCTGTCATTACTTGTTTTTTAGGAGATGCCTTCCAGGGGCTGATTATGATATCAGCCTAACTCTGTTTGCATTTCTGTCTGTTGCTGACAGAAACTGTGAATCTTCTACAACATGATGGAAAAACGGGGTGACTACTCTCTCCCCACATTTCTCTAAGTACTGTAACAAAGAGTTGCTAAATGCTGCTGCTTCGTACTTTTAACAGAGTGTGATATAGTCATAGCCTATCATAAAATCATGTTTTCCTTGATGGGTGGTCCTGGTTGTCCAGACACTAGATGTCACAGTCTTTTGCTTCAGTGATGGAGTGCCAATATTTAAACAAGCAGCTCCTAGAAAATCTTCCCCCCCTTAGTGTGTGGTGCTTAGGGGCAAAGAATAGACAAGAAAACACCAAAATGCAAAAAATGACAGAATAAAAGGCATGAGGAGTTAAGACTATTTGAGAAGGAAAGGCTAATTGATGTTTAGGAGTTCCAAGGCATAGAATTCCCTGAAAAAGTGGCTTTTTTCTATACCATATCATCAGTAGCATAGAGACCTGTCTTTCTCCTTTCTGCTGGCATTTTAATTCCAGTTCAGTCTCCTGTTCTTTAGCACTGGCCTCTCCATGACATCCCTCCCATTCATTTGGCTCATCTGGCTGCAAGCCACAGCAATCCCCACAGTCCTCTCAAACCTTTTTTCCTCTTCCCAGGCACTGGATTTCGAAAATAAAAACCTGTATATTCTGAAAGTAGAAGCTACCAATACTCACGTGGACCCTCGATTCCTCTACCTGGGGCCATTCAAGGACTCAGCTACAGTCAGAATTCAGGTGGAGGATGTAGATGAACCCCCCGTATTCAGCAGACCAGCATATATAATGGAAGTGAAAGAAGATGTTCCAATAAACAGTGTAATAGGAACAGTAACTGCTCAGGATCCAGATGCTGCCAAGAACCCTGTCAAGTAAGCATAGACTATTCCAGCTTGTGCATTTTTACAGCTTTCTTTTGGCCTTTTTCGTGTCAGCACACAATCGCTTTTAACAATGAAATTGTTCAGGTATGATTAAATATGGAGTATTGTAGATGGTAAATGATCTCTCACACTTGAGCATATCTAGGCATGTGTGACTGTTTGCATGGCCGTTGCATCTTGAATTACATCCTACCCTCTTCTGTAACTAATGTTTGTGGTTATTTCTACCATGGAAGAATTTACTGCAAAAAGAACACTAAGAAGAAGCCAGTGTTCTCCTTCCGCCTTTAACATTTTCCGATGTAGTGCGGTGCATTCTCTTGGCTATATGACAGGGGGGTGATTCAGCAGCCCTTTCTTCTCCCATCCATCCAGACCTGCTTAACAGAGGCCACATTTGCATTCTCTAAACTGCAAGTAGAAATGCCTTAAAAGCAGCTCATGTGCACACACAGACTCTCATCTCACTTGAATCAGTGTAAGGTTAATAAGATAAGAATCAGTCTCATGGACTTCATAAATTACGCTTGCCATGACTCAATAAACTAGCCTTAGAGGAAGTGGAGGCAATGTTAAGGTTGGAGTAGCTAAACCTAAGCTTTCTTTTATTGTAAATTAACAGGTACATTGTTTTGTAATATTAAAAAACATACTGGATTACTTAAGTCATATTGGATAGAGTATAAAAGAACTTTTAAATAGTTTTGTGCTTTAATTAAATTTCATTGCTACTGACAAGGCAGTAAAAGGAGGAAATGAAAAATACAGCAATATTAAATCCAGGTCAATTTTCAGCATGTCTCTGGATTGGGCACCTTGGAAATGCAATAGTAGTCTTAAGATCAAAGTAGAACAATGCAGATTTAATAAAAATCCAATCTGTCAATACTTTGCACTTCTACAAACAACTATCTTTCATCAAGATATCTTACAATGTTTATGAAGCATGAGTAAGTTTTAAGCGCTCAGCTCATCTTGTGAGAGGGATAAATATTATCATCTTAATTTCCTAGATGAAGATACTAAATCTAAAACTTTTCTGGCAGAAACCCTCTCTGTCTTCGTTTTACATACAATGCCCTGCACATGAATTCTTGTTCAAGACTAAGCCTTCAAATTTTAATTAAGGTTTGCTTTCATTTATATCATGACTTGCAACAATTATATGGAGATCTGGACTAGCAGAGCATAGTAACTTAAAGAGCAACATGTTTTGCTGACTTTGGTGAAGCCCAGGGACAGAATGAACAGCTTCTATAGCATGTCTTCACAGGCATGCTAGCATGAAGATGAAAATTTGGTTGGGGTGACACCCAGGCCCCTTGCAGTCTTCATATGAACCTGCTTTTTCGTATCTAATGGCACTGGAGAGTGACAGGAATGCTTCGCTCTTTCCC